GTATTATTTTAGCTATCATTATCATCATCATCACCATCATCATCATCATCATTCCACACACAAATTAATTTCAAAGTTTTTATTTTCTTTTTTAACCCGATCTCCCTAACTCTTCCAAATTGCCTTCGTCCCGTATCTCTCAATGACTAAATTGAAAGTGTCATAAAATCCAGCTTCTGTCACATACTAGTCGAACGACGTTAATTTTGTTGATTTATCTTGCAATCTCTGTGAAAATGATGATTAAATTTTCTAAAATCCGAGGACTTGTTTTTAAGGTTCTTTTGGTATGAATAAAATAGAGGGAAATTAGGTAAATAAATTAAGATTATATTATTATATATATGAAGACAGGGATGTAACATAGCCTGTGATTTCATTTGCATATAAGCACATATTCATTTATAATCATGAATATGTATTTAAAAAAGATTTTATCTTATTTTGTTTTATTTTTTAAAAAATCTTTCATATTTATTTTTCATATCTATTTTATTTCGCATTTCCTTTTTTCCATATCTATTTTTCATATTTATTTTATTTAATCTTTCTATTTTTTTTTTTTTTTTTTTACTTATTTCATAACCATTTATTTTTTCCACATCCCTTCTCTTTCTTATTCTCCTTTTCCTTTTTTTTTCGTTCATTTAGAAACAAGTAACTTGCGGCCAGATCAATAATGTTCAGCGGAGCCGCATTCTAAGTAATGATTTTCATATCGTTTTCGGTGGATTTTCTATAATACGAATATATCAAGCGGATTTCAACACGTGTGGGGAAAATTCATTTTAGAGAAAATTATATTTAAGGATGTATACGAAGGGTATAATATACATATACAATTATTATTATTATTTTTTATTTATTTATTTATTTTTTTTCATTATTTTCCTCATTTTCGTTTCGCTCTGCATCGTATCGTGCGCTGAATGTGATTATTTTTTTTAATGTGTTGATATTGCAAGTTGATATTGCAAATTGAGCAACGAAAAGGAAGAACAAGAAAACACACGAATATGACGAAGGCCTTTTTCTCCGAATTGTTTCTTCGGGGCAAGAAAAAGCAGTACGGCGAAAAGGCTCTTCGGTTTATTCCTGTGTCTTCTTGTTCTTTTCTCCGTTATTCTGTTCTGTTCCCAAATGGTTAGATGTTTAGTTAAGTGTATTTGATTTTAATCTGCGGTTTCTTATTTCTTGTAAAATCTGGTGTGACGGGGCCTTAGGTCGCAAGTTTCCCGAAATACGAAAGTTTAAAAAACAATACAAAACAAAAGAAAAAAAAGAAATAAACTTCGACATGAATCCTAAATGGTTAGATATTTAGTTAATCTGATTTTTTTTATATTGCGGTTTCTCATTTTTTGTAAAATCTAGTGAGACGGGGCCTTAAATCGTAAGTTGTCCGAAATACGAAAGCTTAAAAAAGAAAACCAAACAAAAGATAAAACGAAATAAACTAAAGAAAATGCGATTTCTAATTTCTTAAGAATTTGGCAAAAAGAAAAAATAATAATGAAAATAAATAAATAGAAAAAATAAAATAAAATAAAATAAAAACGACATATAGGCCTACTTAAATTTGTCATGTTCTCTCTTCCAGTTCGAATTTCCTTTACGGGTTTTTGATTAAAAAAAAATGTCATTCGAAGTTATATCGTGTTCTCTTGTTACGATTTTGGGTCGATTTCAGTGAAAAAGAGGCAAATTAATAGACACATAAACAGATGATCGATATATTGAATAAATCAATAAACTGATCGATAGATGGATAGAAAAGAGACAATATAGACAACTTCGAATTTGAAAACAGTATTTCCCTGACTAATAGAAAGAAGAGATATCATTCAGTAAAAGTATATTGTGTTATACTGTACAATGCTGTGTGTATATATATATATATATATATATATATATATATATATATATATATATATATATATATATATATATACATATATATATATATATATATATATGTATATATATATATATATATATATATATATATATAAATATATATATATGTGTGTGTGTGTGTGTGTGTGTGTGTGTGTGTGTGTGTGTGTGTGTGTGTGTGTGTGTGTGTGTGTGTGTGTGTGTGTGTGTGTGTGTGCTGATATGTTCATTACAGTGATATAATTACGCAAACAGTGACTCGAAATAGACAGAATATGATAGAACAAAAGGCATACAAAATACCTCAGAAGAAAAATAGATCAGATTAAAATTTAAAATCCGTGAAAATGCGGAATCACGCCTGTAAAGAAAAACGAAAAAAAAAATCTCAAATGACATAGGAAAAAAATATATATATTGAAGGAATCACCTTTAAGGAAATCAGAAAACAAGATTCGACGTAAAGATATATATGTCAAAGGATTTATACCCAAACTTTACGTCAAAAAGTGAGACAAAAAAACAAAACAAAACATGGATTAGCCCAGCGTAGGCGTGAATGAGAGAAGATTCAGGCACAGAAATATTTATTAGGAACACTCAC